ATTCTACGCCGTTGTGTACCCTCATCATTTTATTGAATATTACATACTTACATATTGTCGTATAGTAATACAAAATCTAAATAGGTAAGCATTGAAAGAACCAGAACAGCAAGATATTCAAACATTTCTTACCATGCACATTTACACAATGCATATTCGCGAATTCAATTGTCATTATTCTCCACTTATACCTATTGTTCTATACACTATGGATAATTATCAAACAACGTTAAACAATTTCCAAAACGTCCATATAACTATAACAACATTCATCATATTTTATAGTGATTACAATATACCATCACGCGAATAATTAACAAAACATTATATAATTGCAAGTGATGACATCAGTAGACCAGATTTTCAGATAGAACATCCCCTTCGTGTTTTACCAATGCAATAATCCCATCGTTAATATTCGCGAAATAAATATTCACCATAAAATTCTCAGACGCCCTGTAGATATTCCAAACGAAATTTTGGTGCGTTCCTCGGCTCTGATTGGAGGATCGTTCGCGGGGTGGCGCTTCTATTGGCGGCATCGTGCCGTGTCGCCGTCTGGCGGGACCTTTCGAAAGCTGGGACCGTTCGTTGACGATCGGCAGCCAGTCTGTCTCGGGTGTTCGTGTCAGTCGGACGTGATACAGGGTGGTGCTTGCAAAGTGTCAACCGGCGGACGATTGTTTTGTTGTGTTGTCCGATGTCATCCGTTTAAACTCACTATCACCGGTCTAGTCGCGAGTGTTCCCGCGCAATTCTCGATACCTGCTCGAGCTGGACCAAGGTACCTTCGACTGGTTGCCCCAACTATCGCGACAAGTGTGTCAAAGCCGATGTAACGTGTTTTCTGTGCGTCCATAGTCACCGTAGCCGAGCAGTCCGTCGAGTTTCGGATACATTTTTCACCGAATAAATATGGTGAGTCAGCGAGCACAGAATCTAGTATTTTAATCGCGTTCGAACGATGCGATAAGGGTAGGACACGTTCGAGGGTACTTTTCTGTCACGTATGCACGCGAGTACAGTGGAACAGTAGATTCCACTTGCGTATACCGAGAACAGAGATGGGTCATGGTATCATTGCTAGGTAGAGAGTCGAACATCGAAGCTGCAACATTATTACTAAAAAATTAGTCAGTAACAGGTTAACATCAGTCTATGGATATTGAAATATTTGTCTATTTTAGAAATTATGTTGCATCTTCAACGTTGATTATTATTAAAAAATCAGCCAATAACAGGTTAACCCCAGTGTATGGTTATTGAAATATTTATCTATTTTAGAAATTATGTTGCACCTTCAAGGTTGATTATTACTAAAAAATCAGCCAGTAACAGGTTAACCTCAGTCTATGGATATTGAAATATTTGTCTGTTTTAGGAATTATGTTGCACTTTTAACGTTGGTTATTACTAGAAACTCATCCAATAACAGATTAACTCCAGTGTATGGTTATTGAAACATTTGTCTACTCATTTTGGTAATTACCACTTCCATGGCTGCACTGAAAAATAAAAAGACTTCATTTGACTTCATTCGTCATACCAGCTACCATAGTACCTATGAATATAAACACTATGATACAAGAAAAAAAGAAAATTCATAACTGGGAAGGTAAAGGTGGATACGAATGACGAGTTAACTCATGTTCCCGGTCAAGGGGTTAATAGTTGAAACATCCGAACTACAAATACACCCTGCTGTCAATAGTTTAAATATTTCAAGTAATATGTATTAACCTATTGTTCCCTTCGATTACATCCTATCGAAAGAACATTATATTTCTCGAGTTGCCAAGCACGGAAATCTCGATTGTGGCCTAGGGAGAAATCGTGCTCCGATATAGTCGAACACGACACAGCTACTGTGCGGCCCCATAAGTTTCGTTCCGCAGCGAAGTGAGCTGCGTATGGAATACTTGTTGAGAGCTAGTATTATTATATATTAGCTGAAATACTCGGCGACTTCTGTTTTCTAATCAGACACCAGCGACATTCTTTCAAACTGACTTGACGAGAAATCGCACGTAAATTTAAATATTTCACATCTCGATGCATTGTGTAAAGTTTAACCCATTGCACTCGGAAGTTTCTCACTAGAAGTATTTGAACAGTTTCTAATGAGATAACGACGATATCTCGTGAAACTAATTTGGAATAATTTGATTTCGAACGTAAATGCTATAGCATTCATTTTCATTGTGTTACAAAATGACGTGAATGCTATATCATTGAAATTTATAAACCACGTTGTCATGAGTTTCATTTTATACAGCCTGAATTTTTTTCAATTATACATTTTAACCCTCGGAATATGGCGTTCACATTTTTCCTATTTTTCCGGCTGATTAAAATTGTTACTTACTGTTCGAGCAATTAAATCATTCGTTCGCTACTTAGTATTCCAAACACGAACTGGCAAAATTTCCATGTATTTATTTTCTCCTTGGCGTTACACTTAAGACCTTAGAGAATAGTTCTCTTATGTGTATAAAGATGCAAATAAATTTGTTAATTACAGTAATCGGTTATTTAAATGCTATGACGCGACAATAGTTCATGTACCACCGGTGGTACATTCCGTCGAGAACGTGTTAACACGTTGACCGCCACGGTCACCGATGACCAAAGTTTCCGAATTAGTGAAGAACAATCACAATAAAAAGCTTGAGTTTAAATAAAAATATTTGGTAACACAAGTAGCTACATCATAGCATAATACGACTACTCTAATACTAAATCATTAATAATTATTTTCAATATCATTTGCCTTTGTTGTTAAAGAATAAATATTGCTATTCGAAACGCTGGAAATTCTCGTGGCAGTCAACGTGTTGACCCTTAGCACTCCGCATAGTTTTGTGATATGTCAGCAACTCCTACCAATTTTGATAGTAGTCTTACTGAAAATTAACAATGTTCTAACATTTCTTAGACCTTTAATTCCCTTCTCGGTACAAACTCTGTATATTTGGAAGATCTAATAATCTTAAGGTAGTTTCCTTAAAATTCATTAAAATATTTAACACGTTGTTGA